ATATATTTTTTTTAAAAAAAAATTGCACATACCACACACATACCACACATAGCCACATAAATATTACTTCAAAACATTAAAACACATTTGTCATTTAAGTACTACATTTACATTCGAAAATAAGAGCCTAATGAACAAACATTCATACACTACTAGTCTATTACAAATTATTAAATGTGCAAAGATATGCAAAATGGAAGAGTTTTTATTTTCAAGGTTGTGAAGCCTTTCTCAAAAGTTTAAACCTTGCCAATAGAACTCAAAGCTTGCATGTTATTCCTTTTACAAAATCCTCAATTTTTATCGATCATCATGACATAAGATTTTGTGGTATCCACTAGTGTAAATATTTTAAATTGAAGATTGAATTCATTCATTGTATTCATATAGGGTCAAGGAGTGTAGCTGTATAAAAAATCATCAAAATCAGAGTTCAAATAACCGTTAAATCATGATTTTCCGTTGATAACCATCAAAATGTTTTGTACCGTTACTTAATCTCTGAATGTTAGTTTTTTGCGATTTTTGGCGTATGCAATCTTGAATCATATACAAACAAGTTTGACGGTTGGATTGTTGAAATTAGTTTCGTAGAATGTGTATCCTATCAAAACGATAGATTCACTAACATTTAGAGTTTGTTTATACTTTCACTAAGATCCACTAGTGTAAATATTTTAAATTGAAGATCGAATTCATTTATTGTATTCATATAGGGTCAAGGAGTGTAGCTGTAAAAAAATCATCAAAATCGGAGTTAAAATAACCGTTAAATTGTGATTTTTCGTTGATAACCGTCGAAAAGTTTTGTCCCGTTACTTGATCTCTGAATGTTTGTTTTTTGCAATTTTTGGCGTATGCGATCTCGAAGTATATACAAATATGTTGATGATTGGATCATTGGAATTAGTTTCATAGAATGCGTATTCGATCAAAACAATAGATTCACTAACACTTAAGAGTTTATTCATACTTTCATTAAGCGTAACATAAGATTTATCCACTAGTGTAAATATTTTAAATTGAAGATTGAGTTCATTCATTGTATTCATATAGGGTCAAGGAGTGTAGCTGTAAAAAAAATTATCAAAATCGGAGTTAAAATAACCGTAAAATCATGATTTTTCGTTGATAACCATCGAAAAGTTGTGTCCCGTTACTTAATCTATGAATGTTTGTTTTTTGCAATTTTTAGCGTATGCGATCTCAAGGCATATACAAACAAGTTTGACAGTTGGATCGTTGAAATTAGTTTCATATAATGTGTATCCCATCAAAACAATAGATTCACTAACACTTTAGAGTTTATTCATACTTTCATTAAGTATAACATAAGATTTTGTGGTATTCACTAGCGTAAATATTTTAAATTGAAGATCGAGTTCATTCATTGTATTCATATAGGGAGAAGGAGTGTAGCTGTAAAAAATCATCAAAATCAGAGTTAAAATAACCGTTAAATCGTGATTTTTCATTGATAACTGTCGAAAAGTTTTGTTCTGTTACTTTATCTCTGAATGTTTTTTTTTTGCAATTTTTGGCGTATGCGATCTCGAAGTATGTACAAACATGTTTGACGGTTGGATCTTTGAAACTAGTTTCATAGAATGCGTATCCGATCAAAACAATAGATTCACTAACACTTAAGAGTTTATTCATACTTTCATTAAGTATAATATAAGATTTTGTAGTATCCATTAGTGTAAATATTTTAAATTGAAGATCTAGTTTATTCATTGTATTCATATAGGGTCAAGGAGTGTAGCTGTAAAAAATCATCAGAATTGGAGTTAAAATAACTGTTAAATCGTGATTTTTTGTTGATAACCGTAAAAAAGTTTTGGCCAGTTACTTGATCTCTGAATGTTTATTTTTTTGCGATTTTTTGGTGATGCGATCTCGAAGCATATACAAACAAGTTTGACGGTTGGATCGTTGAAATTAGTTTTGTAGAATTTGTATCCCATCAAGTTCAATGGTAATATATATATTTATTAAGTAGATTTAAATTTATTTATTTTGTACATATAACACTTAAGAAATTGAATGGTATGTATATTTAAGCCGATCCAATGCTCACCAATTTTTAATATTTAATTATATATATATACATATAATTATTATAGTTTTTAGGGGTATAAAAATGTTAAATTAAAATATATATTTATTATAGTATTTTTTTAGGGTTATAAAATTATTAAATTAATATTTTGCTTATCGTATATCGTGTTACCCACGTGTATACCCGAACCAACTCGTTATCTTAACAGGTGCTTATCGGGTTATCCGATTCATTATCGTGTCGATCCGAACACGTGTTAATTTCGTATCGTGTCGTGTCGGATTATCGGGTCGTGTCAAGAATTGTCAAGCCTAATGTGACCACATTGTGCATCATATCCCATTTTTTAATATCGGTATACATATATTTCCCATGCATTGGTCCATAAAGTCACGTAAATTAAGGGACACATTACACCTAAGCACAAAGCCACATAGGTAATTAACCTCTTCTAAACTGAAAGCCTCAAGTCAATGACTCAACCTGGAAGGATCAAGAAAACAAAACAAACTATTTTACTTCTGTACCTTAAACATAAAGTCGTCTCTTTTTCGTCGCATTTAAAAAAAAATAAAAAATTCAAACGATGGGCCTATCATAATTCTATCGTTCAGAGTAAGAACTAATCATTAACTTAATACATCAATCGGTAATGTGTAATTACAATATTACAAGGTCCCTAATGATACAGCTTCTTCAGGGCCGGGGCCGGGCAATGGCGGTTTGATTAGAGAGCTTAATCAACCACATCATCACTAAACAGCTTAAATTTGCTGGCATCAAGAACCAGTTTCCTTACAGAGGAGAATGTGCCCAAAAGTCCTGCACCTGTGAAGACGATGATTATGGATATGTTCATCCAGTAAGTGAATGATGATTTTGCAGGCTTGTAGGTTTTGTTGTAGAGAAGCATTGGGAGGATGAAATCTAATGGGATGAAGCCGACAGCTCCAACCACGCCGCTTATGTCGCCGAAAAATGGAAGCATTGCTGCGAAAAATCCGCAGAGTACCATGTACAGCGACCGAAGAATTATTCGGGGAATGAGATTCCTTTTTGAGAACATTCCTTGTTTGACATCTGCTGATTTCTGTTCCATGATCTCATAAGCAACTTGAGAATAAACCTGCACCATATCAGACAAAGACAACCTTAATACAAATTTATACAGCCTAAGAAATTAAAATCTCAATTTTCCTAAAAGGGCAAGAGTAAGCTGTGAGCTTACCAGGCCAATGGCAAGAAGCTGAAGGAGTACAAAGATCACAGTAAGTCCAAGAACCCAAGTAGGAGCGAGAGAAGGTCCCTCATCGGGCATTAGGCTATTGAGAATATTTGAACTAGATTTGTTCCCAAACACCCAGTATCCGGACACTGCAGTCGAATAGAAAGTAATGAAAATTACTGTGTAACACATCACGAGCCCCTTCACCATCTTTCCAGTAGCTGGTGGCGCCAGGGTTGCCTGCATTGATCCATTGGCATATGATAAAATTTTACGAAGAAGCATATCCCAAGCAAGAGATTGTTTGGCATTGTCATTTATGTTCACATTTTCACACTAAAACTAGATGGAAATTGATATTCGCAAAACAAAACTAGAAATTCACATCCGTGTTTCCAAGGAGGCTACCAGATGACATCATAGTTGTGCAAACTAGCTTTTGAAGCTTGGAATTCTAAAACCGATAAAAAGATCTAAAGATGCAGTATTTACTTGTATTTCAGGTAGTATTCCATTCCCGAAAATAGCAGCAAATATGGAGATGGAAGTGAAGGCATTGAAGAGCCTTGTTGAAGTGGAAGATTCTAAGGAATAGTCCCTTGCAGGGGCGTTCTTAGAGGTACCTAGAGGAAAAAAGAGATGTTTACCGCACAATTAGAACTTTCTTTTCTATAATAGACAAACAAATTTCATGATCAAATAACTGAATAGGTTATGTGGCCCCTTATTGACAAAAATCTGTCATTACTTACTGAAGATTAAACATCTTGATTGTTATAATTCCATTTTAACAATAAAAGTCCACTTATGCACATGCATGTCATACAAATCCAAAATGCATGCCTAATTAGGACTCATGAGGGATGAGAATTGTTAATGACCAATGCAAGTTTTGGTGCAGAGAAAAAAATTGTTGCTCTAACTCCTCCAGAAGAATCAAGTTATTAACTCCTTTTTTTTTCCTAGCGAACATAATTTTGAACTAGGGAAAAAGCACAAGCTGCATGAAAGATGGCCAGAAAGATACATGTATACAATTTCTTTGTATAAGTAATGCATGAAAGCAAAATATAATTGAGTATGCTGAAGAGATGTTGAAGGATGAAGTACCTGCATAAATACAAGCACCGACCACCAGGAATGAGTAGCCCAAGCAGAGAAGCAGCGAAACAAAGTTGATGTGCCTGAGGGAGTGGAAAGTTGGAAGCTGAGAGATGACTATCATTACCACGGTAACCATGGCTATGAAGTGGTACAATTTCAGAGATCCATTCGGAGAAAGCTCTGAATACATAATCTTACAATAAAACAAGTTGACAATAAGACATTGCAAGGTTAATAGAATCTAACTACTGCACTGTAATGCTGAAAAAGAGTAAAACCAACATAACTACCATAGAAAACAGTTTCTGAATAAAACGTAATTTAAGTTTTTTATTAGCATTTACAATGAAAGCATGCAAAAATATTCATTGATTCATATGACATTGTTCCATCGAAGTTCACTATGAAAGTTCTTTTCTTTTTTATTTAGAAAATGTCAGTAGTAACTGGTTTGTTGGTGCTGAACCAGCTCAACATGCAAATGTGATCAACTTGCTTCACGCTTACAGAAGACTGCTTCAGCTTCCTTGAGGCTAAAACAAGCAAGTGCTTTTCTGTTAATCGTTTTTCGTTTTTATGTTTGTGTGTGGTTTTGATGTGAAACTGCGAGATTGAGACGAGACTTAGATTCGTATCCCTATTGGTTTGAAAGTGGTGAGATGGCAAAATTATGTATTAGCTCTATCTGATCATTCTCCCAACAAACACAACAATGTGCTATTTGCTTGATCAAATTAAGTTTTATCCAAATTTTCAATTACCCTTATACTTTTGTTCCTTCAAACCCAACTACTTTCCTTTCCAACTGTATGAGAATTGAAAAGAACTATAGGATTGAGAACGAGTTGATGATTTGGATTATGTTTCCCTATTGGTTTGATAGCCATTGTGATGGCATATCTATGCACTAGCTCTTTCTGATCATTCTCTGAACATTAATTCATGTTAACAAAAGGTAAAGGATGACCGCAAGCCAACAAGGCTCCCTACTTTTCGAGGATCAGAGGGGGACATCTATCGTACGCAATCTTACCCTTGCTTTGCCATGAGACTGTTTCCATGATTCAAACCTGTGATCTTTCGGTCACAAAGGAGCAACCTTTCTGTTGTGCCAAGGCTCGCCCTCAAGTAAAATAAAAAAGTAACCAAAGTCATGATCCAAAAAATGCTTCAGCTATGTTCTTAACTGGGCACATCCAAATGAATCTAAATACAAATTTTCGCCCGATTTCAAATCAAGGTCGAGGTACTGATTTGACCGATGCAGCTAGGTGTGCATAGATATTAAGGAATGTGACTAATTGATTGCTGTGAAGCTAATTGAATGTGGGTTTTGTGAATGCATTTTTAGACCTTCCTAACTGTGGGTGAAGAATGAAGATTATGAAAATCTTGGTCGCTGAAGAGTTTACTAATCTTAATCTCCTAGGCAGATATGGATGTTCAACGATAAAAAGAAATGTCAGCATAGAGATAAGATTTTGGGAATTAAGAGATGACTAATTTGTTGCCTATAATTTTTACCAATTATAATTTGTGAAGCAACTGCCACAACTGTTTACAAACGAAAAGCAGCTGAAGCATGTGGGAAGCTAATAGCTTCCACTGAACAAATGTCTCAAGTTGAGTAATTCACCTATTACTATCATTCTTTTTAATACATGAGCAAAAGTGCATGCCGTACTCATCAGTCATCGTACACCCCATTAAACATAAAATCAAAAAAAAAACAAAAACAGAATTACCCTTTAAGACGGGGAAATGATTTCGACACACCGTTTTTTCTCCTTCTGTAGACCAAGTTTATTTTTGTCCCTTGATTCCCTTTTGATTTATTCAATCCAAAGTTGTGCAAAGGGAGAAAACGAGTGTGCAGAAATCACTTCTCTTATAGACAAACTAATATCTTTTGGTGATAAACCAACACATTATTGCATGCGTTGATGTGAAGTGATGATAATGATGATGCAATATATACCTTAAGGCATTCCCCAGAAAGCAAAATTGCTCCTATTCCAACCCCAGTGTTTATAGCCGTTTGAATGAATATGACGAAATAATACATCCATCCAGACCCTACAAGAAAAAAGGAAAAAAGGCAAAATCCCACACTTAATTAGTTTATAATCCAAGATTCCTTATATACAAGTGCTTATTCAGCGGGTCAGAAACAGAGCATCACACTCATAAACAATTAAGGATTTTTTTTTGTGCCAGAAACATCATATGACTCAAAAGCAATGCTTAATCAAATGCAACTTGTTTAGCACTAGGACTAAAAATTAGCAAACCCAACAAATACCTACATGCCATAGATACATCGTCACTGTGGCATCCCTAATAAACCATGTGTAAGTTTCCATATATTATTAGTCTGAGACGCCACGTGCATGCAAAAATCAAAGCTAACATTCCCAAATCACGAAAAACGATCTCAGCGACGTGAAAATGGTCCTGGTGCCTCATCAGGGAAGCAAAATGTAAATAACAAGCGACGACGTCGTCTTGACGCAAAAGTAGAGTAGTTACCTAATACGTCGGCGGCGAGTTCACGGAATCGGATGTGGCGGCGACCCTCCTTCTCACACTGGTCGAGCACCTTCGACATGAGGTAGTAAGAGTAGAAGGTGACCAGGCCCATGATGGTCAGGCACAGAAACCCCGGCCCCCATCCCAGTCCTCTGAACGCGTACGGCAGCGTCAGTATTGTGGGTCCCACTATCGACGTCGTCAGATGGAACCCGGCATGCCACCACTGCCCTGTATTTGCATACACACCAAGTAAATATACAAATCGGAATTTCAAAAATACAGTTGATTAAACGGGCGGTGGGGAGGGCCGGTGTTTGACCTTTGGATTGGAGGACGAAGACAGCGCCGGCGTCGCTTTCGCGGCGGGCTCCGAGGAGGGTTTCGGAATCGGGAGGCCCCGTCATCGTTTGATTCGAGAACCGCGGAGAGAGGAGGAGGAGGAGGAGGAGGAGATGCGGCAGGGGGTGTGCAGGTTAAGGGACGATTTAATGTGGGCAGGAGGCGGCGTAGGTTAGTGGAGTTGTTGGAACTTGGAAGTAGCTGATTGCAGGTGTCTACTACGCTAAAATGCGCGGTGGAGACCTTTTGCCACCCGAGGGAAACCTTGACACTGTCTTTAACTTATTCAGTTATTCTCAAACAGTCAAACTGAAACCCCCTCACCGGTTATTTTACAGAATTGCCCCTCATTTCTCCTTCAGCTGAGGTATTGTTAGAGCATTTCCAATGAGAGGATTTGTATGGTGCTGAAAGTTGTTGATATAGAGCTTTATAAAAGAATCTTTCTAGGTGGTATTCTTTCTTCACTTGTAAGTAAAATATCTTAGATTCGATTCTCGTCAAAGACGAATTTGAACCATATTATTGCTACTCCATTGTGAAGCTAAGCTCACCCATCTCTCTTATTGTAGATAATATCGTTTATTAAAAAAAATATATCTCCCAATAAGGGGTTATTTCTTTCAGGCTCTATATGAGGCTATATATATTTATTTATATAGTAATTTAATTACGTGATAATTTTTTTTATGAACCTCTAAACCTAAAAAAGTTCAAATTCTGACAAAATTAAATTTTATCACTTATGAACCGTTCGTTGAATTATATTATCTTATCTCATTGTCATCCGTTGAAAGATGCAAACCTCAACTTTGCCCTCTGAAATAATTTGATTTTCACCTGCAACACAACAATTTACCAAGCACTAATTGGTAAATTAATATCTTACAATGTTGAAAAGAAACAAAACTTATTTAAAAATTTCACACACGGAATGCCCACGAACGTTAAATCAATTTGAAATTTTAATTCTCATAGAATTTAAATCAATCATTAATTGGCCCAATTATAATAAATTACAAACACAACCACATGTTTCATCACATAATAAGGGGCATTTTAGGATGATAAAATTTTGTAATCTGAGTCATAAATCAAAATAAATGATTTTTTTTTTTTGTTAAAACCCAATAAACGGGTTTAAGTCAAGAAAAAATACATATGGTGTGTTACAGGCAAAGAAAAATGAATTTTAAAGGGGAAATCTAAATTTTTAGATAAAAAAAAAGTGAGTCTTTTTAGTAGAATATCTTATATCATTTTATGTCTTAAGCATTAAACATACAAACAAAATGTAACAGGATCTTTGGAACAAAAATATGTAAGGAAAAAGAATAAAAAAAAAAGAATAAAGTGAGAGTATAAGTGTAATTGCAAGTAGAATGAGAGTGATAGAATTTAGCTCGCATGAATTGCTACTTTTCTCATGAGACCCACTGTTTTTTGGGGCTAGATGTAGACTAATTTTATGCTACCCAAGAAAGGAAGTCGCTAGTCCAAGTGGTGGATGTACCCCATTTTCCTACTCATTGGAGATGAAATTTCTCAGGAAGACTTAAAATGTAGTAGCCTCATGAAATATAAAACCTCCATTGGGATGCTCTTAAGGGCTGTTTTGGTCTTTTCAATTATTTTACGATGGAGTCGGGGACCAAATCTTGGTAAACTTCATTTTGCCCCCTCAAATTTTTGTCTAATTTCAAATTCATACGTGTCTTTTAATTTTTTCAATTTCATACAAGGGTTCAAGATTTTACACCAATATCATACATCAATTTAAAAAATACGTTAAATTTCCCGTTATAGGATGACGTGGTAAATGCAACCTACATTTTTGCTATGTGGCAATCAAATTTGTCCACGTAGATAAAAAGATAAATTATGAAACAAATCAATTTAAAAGAGAATAATCTTTTATGCCAAAAAATTAAGGCCAAATCATTTTCATTATCCCTGTGGTGTGACCCTAGTTTTAATCTGGTCCATGTGGTTGAAAAAAATGGTTATTCATGACCTTATGGTCCTGTTAGCAATATGGATTCAATTGTAATTTCTGTTAGCAATACGATTCAATTGTAATTTTTGTTAGCAATACGATTCAATTGTAATTTCCTTCCATTAAATCTCTGTTAAGATTCAAGGGCAAATATGCCCTTCGATCCTATTAGTTGAGACAACTAATCATAAATTACCCTTATCTGGTTCATAAGAAATAAAGCAAGATAATGGCAGATAGACTAAATTTGTAGATAAAATTTGCAAACTAAATAATGTGTCACCAATAAGAATGAGCAAATTTATCAACGCTTAATAGTTCAATTTTCAACTTCCATGTTATTTGGTTTACAAAAATCTACAAACTTAGTCTCTTGTCATTACCCAACAAGGGAAATCATCTGTCAGACCAAATTCGAATGGATGAACCATTACCGACAATCCAATGAGTCCCCTGTTCAAGGATCGGGCGAGCAGCAACTATACCTCTAGCACGCTGACGGCGATGATCCAAGTGGGGCATCCCAGAAGGATTTATGCAGAAAGTATTTCGCTTTTAAGAGCCTAGACGTTAGTGATTCAGGAGTTGCAACAGTCACCACCCTTGTTCCGCAGGAAGAGCAAGGGTGAAATATAAATAACGGAAACCCAACCCCCCTTCATTTTTAGGTGGGCACATGGCTTCCCAGGAGAGCCAGTGGATACGTCTTTTGGCTTTGTTACTACCCCACCAAAACCAACTCAATATGCGTTGCAAACCATCACAAAGTGTTTGGGGAAGAAGATGGCAATTCATAGTGTAGATAAACAAGGATTGATCGACAACTTTTATGAGTATTTCCTTGCCGGCCGCATTAAGGAGCTTATCCTTCCAACCTTTGAGTTTCTTCCACGACCTATCTTTTATATGAGAAAAGGCAGCAGTTTTGTTCCAACCTAAGATTAGTAGAAGCCCCAAATCCCAAATATTTGCCTTGAATGTCAACACGAGAGACTCCAAGGAAGGAAGGCAGCCAGCTGATCCTGAATCTCTCTGAACATTGGGACTAAAAAAAACCACTCTTTTGAAGATTGACGCATTGCCCATAAGCTAACTCATTGCATCATCCTCGAGTGACGGCCAGCACGTGGCAATCTCGATGTCCCCCAAACATCGGGATCAGGGCGTGTCAGTGCACCATTAATTTAAAAGGAATAGGAGACCAACATGACATCACCAAATTAATCCAAACCTGGGCAAAGCCAAGTTTTTCCATCATTCACTGAAGAAAACCCCATTCCATCAAGTTTTAGAGCCATGTATGTAACCCTGATTCCGTCTGCGGTGGGGTTATGCAAATAGTGACCAATTTCTGCCGCCATCAGAGAATTGATTGTATGAAGTTGTGCACAATCCCGCTGATTTGTAGGACATTGTTTGAAGTGATTATATGTAGTTTTGTGAAGTTAAGAAAAACATTTGTTCAATAATCAGATCAGGTCAACTCTTGAATTTGAATCATTCAAATCTTTCATTCATAGTTAGCAAATGCTAAGGTTGACATCAAAGTTGACACTAAAGAAAGAAGAAAGTCAAATTAGCCATCAAAGTGATGGGCATGAAACTCCTACAAATGTTTCACCAACATTTGAACACCGTCTGATCATCAATTAACAGAGGTAGATGCAGCAGCAGCACTTTTGTTATATTCCTCTACCTCCTTCTTGTATGCTTGCATTGCTTCAGCTGCCTTCTCATTCCAACCCTTTTTCTCTTCTTCCTTCATTTCCTATATAACCCAACAAGTGAAACAAAAAATAGGATCAGTTTTAATTAATTTAGGGTCGAGAACATGTTACCAAACGCAACTTCCGAACCCAAATGCAATCCCGTACCCTCCATTTCAGTGAAATCATTGCAGTAATGGTGGTGCTGTTAGTCCCTGGTCTCTCCTCCAACAGAGCCTTTCTTGCTTCCTTGCTGCATCATTCAAAACAAAACCGAAATCAGTTTTTATTTCTCTTTTACGGGAGATTCTACTGTGTTACCAAAGACACACACACACACACACACATATATATACACACACTCTCTTTATCGCTCTCATCGCATGACCACGATTTTGCCCTTTACAGGGTTTCATGTATAAGACATTACAGGACTACAGCATTTAACGAGGAACATTACCTGAACAAGAGGTAAGAGGATGCAGGCTTCTTGGGCTTGTTGGGGTCAACATTCTTCATGTCTTCCTTCTTCTTTTTCTTCTGCTCCTCCTTCGTTTTCTGTTAATCCATTACAATTCGATTAGCAGCCAACTAATAATACAATAGCAACAAAATCAGTAAAATAATGGAGACCACAGCTTGCTTAGTAGTAAGCAAACCTTGATTATGTTTTCAGTCTTCTCCTTCTTCTTGAGAAGCTGCAAGGCTTCATGCTTTTGCAGTTTCATCAGCTCTTCCTCTTCCTTTTTGAGATTGGAAGCTTCCTCTTCCTTATTCTGCTTGTAAACCTCCATCTCTTGCATATACTTCTCCTTGTTCTTCCTAGCCATCTCCTCATACGGCAATTTTTGCACCTCCGTCATGTTTTTCCATTCTTCACCCGTGATCTTTGCAACCTACAAAATAGTCCCAAAATTGACAAATTATAATATGCTGTGAGGTTTTTCATGTGGGGATGGTGATTTTCAAATACCTCAGTGACAGTTTTGTTCTCTGCAGCCAGAGCTGGTCGCCTGTCGTTTGTGAACAGAAAAAATGCCGACATTGGATGCTTGGGTTTCAATGGATCCTTTTCCTTCTTGGTTTTCTTGTTCTCCATTTCGGCTTCTTGCTTGAACTGTAGGTATTGTTCAAGCAACTCCATAGCTGTCTTCTGCTTGTTCTCCTCCTCCAAGAGATGCATTGCTTCCACCTCGCGCTTCTCTTTTGTAGTCACTTTCAGGTAAGCTTCCTTCTCGGCCTGGTACCTCTCTTCGTAAGGCTTCTTCTCTTCAGCACTGACGTTCTTCCACTTGGCCCCCAAAATGTTTGAGACTTCCTTAAAATCTGCTTCAGGGTTCTCCTTCTTGATCTGTATCAAAACCACAAAAGCAGAGTCAGAAATTGTTTCTCACATACATCTGCGAACAATCGTAGTGTTCTAATCTATAACTTACCTCAGCCCATTGATCTTTGCACCATAAGATGTAAGCAGGAGCTGGCCTTTTCTTCTCAGGGCAACCCTTCTTTTTCTTGTCTTGCACTGGTTGAGCAATTGGGAATGCCTGATGAAAAATAAGTAACCATTATGTCAACCCCATTTCAAGATCATCGAACCGCTTCGATCAAACACCCAAGAAATTACAAATTACGAACCCTAAACACGTTTTTGGGCAATTTACCAGTAACCAAAAAGCATAAAAATCCCAAATCATCAACCAAATTTCATGTGAACCCTAATCATCAAGCCAATGCAACAAAACAAATTCCAGGAAAGGGGATCGAGAACAGAAACCCTAAGAACATATAAATCAAGAACCCTCAGGGATTTTTTTTTTTCCTTTTTTTTTAACAATTAACAAGTAACCAAACAAATCTAAGAATCCAAAATTAAGAATCGCCCAACCAAACTTCAGATCCATAATATATTTTCTCAGCATCCAAACAGAGGATAATACAACGCATGCAGAAATAAGGACGCAAATGAAGAAAATAAAGGGAATCAAGAAAACAAACCATGGTGGGTTTGAACTCCTTGATCTTCTGCAGCTTCTTTAACTCCATCTGAAGCTTGTCTTGCTCTCGGCCCTTCATTGCGAGATCTTCCTCCTTGGTCTTCAAGATCTCATCCTTCTCCTTCAGGAGCTCCTCGGTTTTCTCCTTCTCAAGCTTCATCGCTTGCAGCTTCTCTTGCATTTCTTCGAGTTCTTTCTCGAATGACGACGGTTGGGTCTTCTTCTGCTTGGCCTGTTTCTTAGAAGCCGCAGCTTTGGCCGACTTCTTGGGGGAGGTGCGAGTCTGAGAGAGACTCTCGTGGTTCTCCTTCGCTGGGTTGGAGTCCGATGGTGTTTGGATTGGGCTCGGAGTGGCGTCCGAGACCTTTCCTGCGAGGATATTGGCTGAATTTCCAGATGGGTTTTTGTCCTTGAGTGCCCTTCGGCTGGCCCTTGGCTTCCTGTTGGGCATTTCGGCGATTGCAGTGTCAGCCATGGCAGAGAGAGAGAGAGAGGAGGTCGGAGGATTTTGAATTTGAAATTGAGTGGTTGTTTGGGGGGAGGGAGGGGTTGTATATAAGGAGGGGGCGGCCCAACGGTAAGTTTTTTCAAATTCAAATTAACTTTCGAGATTGAATTGTTGTTTGACGTCCGGTAATAAGCCTTGACCGTTTGTAGAAGATGGGTACAAGCCCTTACCATATATAGAGATTACAATTTGTTTTCTTTACCATAGATGGATATTACTTTTCAATTTTGGATAGTTTTTGTTCAAATTTACTTCTTCAATAAGGTTTTCAAATGATTTTTTTGGATAAGTCTACCATATGCGTTCGTGATTATATTAGTTTTAGTTTTACAGTAAAATTCTTTGGACAACAAAATGTCAATTCGAATTATTGGTTAGAAGAATTTGTGTACCATGCGGTGTCAAATTCACTATCTATTAATAATATGCAAGTATCAAATATAAAATATTATACTTCAATGTATTAGTTTTAGTTTTAGAATAAAATTATTTAAACAACATGTCAATCTTAAAAGATTATGCTTTAATGTAAGCAGCAGTGTCAAATTCACAGTCCACTAATATAATATGCAAGTATCTCACAAAAAACATTACACCTTAATGCCACATACAAATGAATTTAGATTAGGGCATATAATACTGCACAAATATTAATTTGATGACTGACATGACAATATTAGATTTTCTCTTTCTCCAACCCATATGTTTTTTTTGTTATAAATGAAATATGTAGGACTCATTATTTATCTCATGGACAAAAAAAAAAAATTATATGTAGGACTCATTTTTAAAAAGAAATCAACCAAAATAAAATTTCAATATTTAGATTTTCTCTTCCTCCAATCCTTAATGCCCGTTTTCACATGTCAAATTTGACCGCAAAAAATTCATATGTCAATTCACATAGAATTAGCATATAGATTGAGCCTTCTTCCTACCATCAAATTCACGTAAAATTTGACATCCCCACAGGAGATGGTCTTACTTATTGAACAATGTTTGTAATTGTTCCCGATGAGGAACGTATTTGGATGGGAACAAATCAATTTGGATATTATGCAGGCTTTGCATAAAAAAAAAATTGTTTCGTTTTTCACACTTAAACAGCACATAAAGTAACATGATTTTTTTTGGGGGGAAATAACAAATTAAATGAAATTCGGGAAAAAAAAATAAAAAACAGATTTTGAATCAAGATTACAAAGTTATAAGTTTATAGCAAGGTTGCAGGCAGTTCTGCTCGATGGATGGGAGCGCGATGCCGCGAGAGTCGAATTCTTGTTGAGAGTGCGGTTAATACAACATCATGATCATTTTGCAGTGTTCTTTTCTTTGTAACTACAGATGAGGATCTAAATCACAGGCCAGTAGACGCCGGTAAAGATTCAGTCTTGGCAAAGATGAACCGGTTCATCCGGAGAAGAACGAAAATTTGTTGTACAGACAAGGCAGAGAAGGAATTTACGATTCATCAGAAACTTCTGCAAGAAGCTTTACCAGGATCCATTATATGCTCTCTCATGATCTAGAAGGGGAAAAAAATAAGAATTCCGGCAGCGAAGTAGGCTGATGTTTCTTATCCATTTACTATCATCTCCATTAATATATCATTCCAAGATTCTATAGGTCCCGGTAAGCACCAATGCAAACAATCAGTCTGAACCTTCGCGTTTCTGCCTTGTTCAAATGGATGATACTGCCTATATGGACCTGGATGTCCATCAGGTCTCAACAAAGAAAGTTGGAAAAGGTCAAGGAGTTTGAGATTCACCCCATGTTTAGAAGCTTCAGCAGCTGCCTTCGGAAATTCTTCTAGTTCAATGCCACGCAGAATCTTATTTACCTCCTTCACTTCAACCTCACCTTCTTTAGCTGGGGCCGTTTTCTTGCAGTTTCCCCCAGTATTCCACTCCCCGCCCTCAAAATGATCAGGTGTGGACGTTCTGAAAAATATTGTGCCCTTGTAATCTGACTTTACTATAAAGTTCATCACAAATCTCAGGGATTTGCGATAAGAGAAATCAAACCCCAACTCTGTCAGATTCCTTTTAGGACAGTAATGGCATCCCAGAACTTCATTGCCCTCGTAGTAGATAGCACTTTTGAGAAACCATTTCCCTGTTGAAATTATCATGTAGTCCCAGCCGTGGTACTGATCCACCCACTTCTTATCAAGCTTGTCAAGATGCAGCTCAACTTCAGATGACGACACACCATCAGAGTCTTCAAAAATAGCAGCTTGGACAAGGAATGGGGACCAAATAACTGAGACGCTAAAATTGTAAGAGGGGAAGTGCCATCTTCTGGACCTGTAATCCTTGTCATGGTACACTTGAACGGCTCGTTCAACCTGAAGGACAATGTTTCAATCAAATTTTAAACAACCTCTTCAAAGAAGTTAAGTTCTAGGCTTAAACAATCTAATAATCAACCATTTATTCCATCAACTCAGAATCTCAAACATTAAAGATGGCATGCTGTAAACAGATGAACTATGGACCAAAATTCCAGAGACAAAAGTAAGAAACAAATCTACACTTGTCATTTTACAGCTATAGTGGTAACTTTGTATGTGCAGGTGTGCGCGTACATACATGGATAGACGGTGGGGAAACAACTTTATACCACCTCAATTAACTTTTCTAGATAAAACAATTTCACTGGCATATATTTGTATACTATGACCCTATATCTGTATAAAGTTATATTTCCTTCTATGCTTCATGTTGTAATGACTGGTTCAGCTATAAAGTGGGTAAGCTGGGAAAGGTGCAAAACCAAAATATTACGGAAGCTCTAGTGAACTAAGAACAACAGACAAGAGCAAACACTAGCAAAATTGCTTAAAGAAGTTATTCATGAGTTATTGAAACTTTCTAGAATTAGTCCAAAAAGTTCTCAAGGGGATCACATTACTGGAAACTAATAGGTTTGTTATCATCAAAAGTTATTTATCTTGATCAATGATAAACTAACTGACTTTACAGTTCAAAGATGATAACTGATTCAAGTTCAGTAGAAGAGGCAGACAAACCATGAAAATGAATTACTCGAAAATAGGAAGGGTAGCTAGGGAAGTAACTGACTGAGAATTAAACACATTCTCCACATCCTAACATGTTAAGTTTCTAGGACAAATGGAGACCTTAGCAATTAGGATATCCTAAATATCAAGTACCTAAGGGCCCTTTCTGACCGACCTCTTTCTTAGTTTCTGGCCAGGGTGGTAGAGCATTTCCAACCTATTCCTCAAAAGAAAGGTTCCTTCTCTATCCCTTCAACCTTCTCGGGAGGCAGGATGCCCCATAAGCACTTTTACCTTTCCTCTTTTAAACACCTTCTCATCCATCGATGAAAAAATTAGTTATTAGGTATCTAAGGAACTCAACTCCAACGCCTCTATCCAACCGAAGCATATGAAGGATTATTTTCTTTTTTATGTTTTAATACTAAATATTCTGTTCATTTGTGCAAAGCCAACATTTATATGTGAGCTATGAATTCAAATGCATACCGTGGAGAGCATGCACAGCAACGACTGGACATGGTTACGAGATATCGAATCACCAATCAACGCCCATGCTTTGTTCCTCATCATTTCAAGAAATCTCCCTGGATCAAATTTTGGGATTTCACAATATCGCGGCTTCCACTTCCAGTATAGAAACCCTGTATCAGGCCTCCCATTTCTTATGCAATTCTGAGGATTTTCAATTGTGGGGCAGCTCTCATTGTAAGCTGCACCCGAAGTACTCGGAATCCAATCCCCAGAGAAAAGATCGCACTTTCCTGCACAAGCGCACAAACTTTATCTCCATTGAAAACTAACTCACTTAATGCAATTGCAATCGAATTCACTATCTGAAATGAGAGATTCCAGGAAGAGTAAAAGGATCTTTCAACTAATAGTATCAGAATAACTAGCAGTACAACAAAACATTGAAATGATACGAAAAGCCAAAAACTATACCGAAAATCATCCACAATTCCCAACATATTGGAGCAAAAGTCCAATTTCCCAACTGCAGATCTTGGTAACCTAAACTATCAATCACAGAGCAAGACTTTCCAACGACAGCAGTTCACTCCAAACTAAATTTCTCATACATACAATACAAAAATAGAAAAACAACAACAGCCATTAAAGAGAATTAAGTAATACCATTTGGTGGAGGTATCTGGTCCTGATCTCCATCTCCTGGAACTAGCCTAGAAATTGGCTGCTCTGAATCCACAGTATTCTCGGGAAAATGGGTTTCTTTTCCGGGAAAAGGCATCTCATCCTGATCTTCGTTTTGTGGAAATTCCACAGATTGGCTGTTCTAAATCCTCAGTTTCCCCAGGAAAAGGGGCTTCTGTTTTGGGCGAAAACTCATTGGAGGTGGAGAGAAAGAGACGAAAAGCAAGACCCATCAGAAGGATTGCAACTCCAAACTTCACCACCAAATGCTTGTGCTTGTGATAAAACCAGTGCATCCAATTCAGCTTCATTGCCTTCACTGCTTGCTTCTTGCTCTCTCTCTTTCTCTCTCTCTCTCTAGATCTTTGAATGCAGTGGATGTTGAGCTAAAAGGATTAAAACCCAGAAAAATAATTACTTGTTTGATTGGGATTATATAAAAAGATCAAAACTTTTGAGATGTTAGATTGGATTTTGGATCGAAGAGAGTTTTCTCCTGGTGTGTTTTTTGGCTTTTGGCTGCCGTGGATGCCTGTTATTTGTTAATCATGCATAAGTTAATTGTAGAGTGCAGTTATGGGAGTGAAGATAAAGTGAGTAAAGCCAGTAATTAATTATTTTTAATGAATTTAATAAAGTGATTCATGATTGGAGAGCAAGAAAATTGGCTGGTAATTACAAGTTTAATTTTCATTAAAAAGAAGTTAAAAATTATGAAGAGACTGAAGAATAAATCACTTTAATATATTTCACAATAGAAAAAAGCTGATCCATCGTCAGTTTGCAATTTACACATTAATAGCAGAGAGTTACTCACCGACAACTGTCCCAGTTACAATTCCGATGATTTAGAGTACCAGAAATTTTTCAATGTGTCAGGAACACGGTTTGATACATTAATGTTATAATACAATTAATTGGTAGGGTAAATTATATTTTGCATGCTCAGATTTGTTGTTAATTACAACCTCATACAAAATCTTTAAAATATTTCAAGCTCATACATTACTCATTATTTCATTTCAATTTTGTACAATCTTAGTCAATTTGTTAAATTTTCCGTTAAATGTTGATATTGAAATGTTTACCCTAATTGAATTTATTTTTTTCAAATTTCCAACCAATTATGTATTACACTTGTTAATCAAGTCGTGCACTCGACATAGTGAAAAATCTCTCCTAAAGGAGAATGTGTGTGTGTTAATAGTTGTTTTCTTTTTTGATAATATTGATGCTGAATTGTTGTTTAATATCATGTATTTGAAAGAACCACTCAACCAACCTCTTTGATCCTATTTAAGGCTTGCTTGATCAACTAATTAGGTAATACAAACTCTTATTAAAGAAACATTTTAGAAGATGAACGGTTGAAATTGCATTGTCATGTATATTAAATTTGAACTATAGTTTATTTTATATGATGATTTTTAAATTGCTTCAATTTTTATTAAAGATATTAAAACTTAAATATAAAAAAAAGAGTACATTGTTTTAATCAACCGACCTAACTTAATATATTTTTCGATTTATATTCACCTTACCAACCGAATAAAGATTCTTGTCAAATTCATGTACTGGTGAGTGATGCCACTTCGATTTGGATTCGACCACAAAACAGCATATGATATGTTTGCTTCCCACAATTACTTAGGGTTTTTAAATAGAATATCTAGTTCAAGTAGCATTGCCACTTAGTACTACAATTTAATGGTTTTTCTTTTCTCTTATAAGACCATTTACAAGCCATAGAATAAAGCTTAAAATATAAGCTTTAAAACTCCTCCAAACATCTCCAACCATAGGGCTAAAATAAGCATTTGGGAAAAAATATATCTTTGGGCTAAATTCTCTCCAGAAATTAAGCTTGGCTTAAATTATTATGTACCCATAAACTATCATATTTCAAAACCATTTTTTGCTTTTTTACTTATAATCCAACTGCTATGATCAAATGAAATCAAATCTAACAGTAAAATAAAAGATTTGACGGACTAAAATTAAATCTAACATCTAAAATAATTTAAAAAAATGATTTAAATCAAATTCCACTTAAAACTTTATAAATACCTATGTATTTGTATGATTTTTAATTATTTATTAGAATTTAAATATTTTTAAGTTAAAATGTTCATAAAAATCAATTAGAATAATCTACATAAATTTTATTTTTCAAAAAAGTTATAAAAAAAAGCTAAAATCATTATTTAATAATCTCGTACTAAAATTTTAAGCCATAACCATTGGAGGAGAAAAACAGTTTCTAGGTTATTGCTTAAAATTTTGTGGCTTAAATTTTTAAGTTTTATTCCCAAGGGTTGGAGATGGTATAAGTGAGAGCTTTTAGGTTCAATTCTCACCACAGACGAATTTGAACCGTATTAATGTTAGCTCATTATGAGGTTAAGCTCATCCATTTAATGTAGATAATATCATTTGTTCAAAAAAGTTTAAATAACAATTATTATTCCTCTTCCCTTTTTATGACTATTATTATGATTATCTTATGATCATCTTATAAGATCTGTCATGTCCCATGCTTAGTCAACAGAATATAGCATTTTTAAGATGTGTTTAATATTTGGTTGACTTGAATAAAACAAACGCTAATGAGAATCATAGTAAAATACGAAACGGGTATATTATGTGAAAATACGTACGTGCATTATTTAGCAACTTTGTAAAAATGATACTTTGAAAGATTAGAACTTTTTCTTAAATTTTAATATTTACTTATTTTTGTTTTTCAATAATATGTTAAAAATACGTATAAAATAAGTGAATTTCATGTGTATTATTAAAAATATGACTAAATAATGTGTATTAAAAATGAAAAATATGCATATATTTATAATTTGTGTATCATACGTTGAAGTACAAAAAGTGCAATTTAATGAATTGTGACGACGTGTCAAAAAAGTGAAAATATTTTTAAAAAATACATATGTACGTACATAATATGAAAATATATAACGATGATGAGAATGTCATGACAGCCTTGTTGTCGATAGAAAATGAAACTAAAACAGTCTATAACATGTCAATGACATGCTTTCTGTCGACATCTTGCGAGTATTAGCATGTCAAGGCATCAGATTGCAAATAGTCACTAGAAGGTAGGATTTCATTTCAATCTGATCCAAAATTTCCCTATTAATTTTTTTTACTTTTACTAAAAAGCCACCCTTACTTTTACAGAATCAGAAACCAGTACATATATCAGAGGCTTATTTACACATGAAAATTTGAAATCTACTTGGTAGAAGCTTGACAAACATTGGTTCACGTCAGTGCAATGTGTTCTGTACCTTGCAGTGTATGATGTAGCAGGAATCTCGCCGGGACAACGAGGATCAACAAAGCGAAATCCAAATGTATGAACAAGCACGTCGATAATACAGAAGAACTATACTGTACAAATACAACATGATAAAATCTATCCAGCCTCGAACACAACCGGGTGATACAATGTACATATCACCTACACTCGCAGAGATGCAAACGTATGAACAACTAACAAACACATAGGATCCAAGAACACGCCAAGAATTTAAATGGTGATTGACCCGTTATTATCATCTTTAAAGACTCGAAGCATACAAGATTTAAATCGCAAAGTGAATGTTCACACAGCCATTCTGGGGACCTTCATGCCAAATCCAAGCTTTGCCTTCTCAATTCTGTCCAATAAAACGTCAACGATCATGAATGAATCAATACGAATACAAATTAATAAATGATAAGCCATCAGACAAGCTGATACATAAACATTTATGAAGGTTGATATATTACCAAATGGTGATAATCATAAATGAAAAGAAATTAACAAATGCAAAGCAAGAAAATGACGGTAATCTTAGTTTACGCTTGCAGACACAGGGCAATAGCCAAATAAGGATCAAGCTAAGTTGTTTGATATCGATCGAGCAATTTTCTTTACGTAGGATCTTCACAACAAGACGGTGATCAACATGCCACTGTAATCAAACTTATATAAGCACAAGGACTTACGTGGGGGCAAGTTTGCCGAGGCTTTTTAAATCTTCCCCTGAGTCCTCATCCACCACTCTCCCAGACATTTCGACGATATAAAATTTCTCTCTTGTAGTTGGTAGTCCTCTCCTTGCAAGCAGGTCCAAATCTCTCGGATGTAGCTCTCTCCCGTTTACATAGACACCGGTATTGCCAGCAGCACAATTTGTTGGAATGGGGTAATTGAATTCTTCAATAAAAGGCTGCAAAACGAAACGAATGCTTTATTATAAGTCCACATGAACCGTGTGCAAGAATATTTACAAATCAAAAGTTTATTGTTCTCACAGGAATTATGCCGAGGCAAGCTTGGCCCATCACACCCCAGAATCCGGCTCTGAAATCATACCTAGTTAAAAATGCGGATATGAAACAAGTTACTTTTTCAGCTAGGAGGAATTTACATGTCATACACTAAAAGTTGGGAGGCGACATGCAGACTTACCAATAATCTCCAGGTCGAATCGGGCCAGCGAGCTTTTCAGCTTTCCTAACAACATGATCCGGAATAGGTTGCCCGTTAATAAAAACAGTAGGCCTTGTTTTCTCCACAGCTTGGTTAGATTTTGAGATATCTCTAGAGCTCTTTTTTATGAGACCCACCAATAAGGAATGTGCACCCTTGCCGATTTTGGGGCGATCTTGTTCTTTTCTTCCCTTTGCAGAGTCTTGAGAAATGTTGGTATTGAGATATTCATTGTAAGAAACATCTACATTGGTTTCCACTGAACCATCTTTCACAGAATTCTGTCGAGAAGCGATCTTTCTAAAGAGTGCCTTGTCTTGGTTCTTGCAGTCACTGTCATTTCCCTTCTCGGCTCTGCTTACTGTACGTGTAGAACTATCAGACTGCTCCAAAAGAGGCGAACCTGGACGCTTTGGAGAAAAGGACTCTTTTGTTGGCAAATCAGCAGAGCCAGATGTTGGTATATGGTCCAGCCCATGATCAATGTTCTAGATTATTCTAGTAAGCAAGAGATGAGGCTGGAGTTTGCTAGACAATTCTAGCATGTTATTAAGTTGATGGAAGAAGCTAGAGAGTACTAGCTTCCTTGGTTGCAAATGGAAAGATCTAGAAGCTACAAGTATGTGGCTAGTCTAGATTTTTCTATACTAGAGGTTTGAAGAAGGAACTAGAAACTAGTAGAATGCCAAGCCCTCACCTATAAATATGGGTGTGATGTAACCAATAGAGAACTAAGAGTGAGTAGCAAAGGATCAAGTCCAAAGCTAGAGTTCCACTCCAAGAGTGAGAGTGAGAGTGTTCCCACTACACATTGTGTGAGTGAAAGTTTAGAGTGATAGAAAGTGTGTGTTATACTTTCTTGTATCCATCAAGCCTTGTCTTTGGCTTGGTAAGACTACTCTTGTTGTATTCATCTTTTTCATATAGTGAAGATTCCTTGTTTGGTGGACGTAGGCATAAATTGCCGAACCACATAAATTCTTGGCGTCCATTTTCTACTTTACCTTGTGCATTCTCTATCTTGTAGTACCGACATTCCTAACAAGTGGTATCAGAGCCCGGTTG